ACTCGATACCACCAGTCCTGAGATAAAAAATTGAAAAAGAAAGAAACTAAAAACCATCCACCGATCGCTGCCATACGAACGAGAAATCGCAGCCGGTTCTTGGCATTAGAGGCACGTCCTTTCCCTACGCCCAGGCTAACGAGCCCCCAGTCAGATAAACAAACACTGCAGCAGAATCTGCTGGAAAGAAGACTGCCGCACGAGTGACTTAGATTTTCCACCCCTCTTTGGCGAGGTTTCAACGCGTTGATCATCGATAGCAAATGTTTTTTGGTTTGTTTTTTTCAAAGTTTTAGTAAGAGTTTTACGGCACTTGCAACACAAAGCAGTCATATAACAGCCGGAGAATAGAGGTGTTACAAGAGAGTAACATACCCCAAAAAGGAGAGATAAGGACGATAGGTGTTGGATAGGAAAGAAGGAGCAAACCACACTAGGGCACCCGCCAACCACCCACCAAATGTTTTTTACACCCCCAGAAGACAGTATTTAGTAACTTGTACTCAGCGCACACTGCCAATCGAACTGATTTGGTTGAGTCGGGGCCAGCTACAGTCCCTTTCATACTTCATGGACGCGGCAAAAGTTGTCATTTTGACAATTTTTATTTATCCATTTGTTTAAAGTGCTTTGCGGCGCTCGCAACTGCATAAGGTCATATGAGCGCGCGAGACACATTAAATATTTTCAGTTGGTAAGAAATTTTGAATTTTGCCCAGGTGGCGGCCAAAGCCTACTGTTGTCGATTTGGGACCACTAAGGAATCTTTACCGAGCGCAACCTGGACACGGGACCTCCGAGATTTTTCGCCCTTGTCCGAGAACGCTGGGTGTAGATCTTTCCTACCATAAGATCAGGGGTGTGGCTGAAAGACAGTAGTGAGAAGGGGCTAGGGGGTAGCAGTAGAAAGGCTGCAGAAAGAGGAGCCCAGAGGAGGGGGCAAATGAGGTGAAAGGGTGGGGGCAGAAAGAGGGGGCAAAACCAGACGACAAAACATAGCTAGAGAGCAGGAAAGGATGTGAAAGGAGACAATTTTAAAGAAGAAAAATTTCCGTCGCTATCCGGTTAACCTCTAGGCCACGAGAGCCTCTTGATAAAATTCGATTGAGATCGATAAATTCGATAGTGACCTTCGAAATAAAAAACGCTTACATATTTTCCAAGGCGACCAGGGAATCGAATAGGTCGTGTTGTACCAAAAAGGTAGCTTTTGCCCCTCCATGGAGGAATATCTGGACAGCCCCGACACAGTTCGATTGGATCCGATTTAAAGTGTTCACTAGAATAAGAGGAAAGCAAGCTTTTTCGGATTTGCCTATTACATACCATGACCGACTCGCTATGAGAGGGGTGCTACACGCAATGAAATACGGATACATGTACATGCATTATCTTCTCTGCACCGGGAACGAATTTACGTGTGTCTCTGTTTGTGTGTGTGTGTGTGTGTGTGTGTGTGTGTGTGTGTGTGTGTGTGTGTGTGTGTGTGTGTGTGTGTGTGTGTGTGTT